TCTTTTTTCCCCAACATCTTAACTCACCTCTGCTGTCTTGGGGGGGGGGGAGCCAGTTGCGTGTTCCTTACCGCCTTCATCTCGAAGCTCCCTTGCTCTTCTGAAGCTTTACCCACGTTAATGTTTCTCCTCCAGTAGGGGTTAAGGAGAAAGTGTGAGCCGATCTTGAAATGAATGAATTAGGGTTAAACGAAAATAAAGGAGGGAGGGATGGGGTAAGTGGGATGTAATATCGGTGCAGGAAGGAAGGAAGGGGACAATAAGACGTGTCTGCAGGACACATCCTTGCCCACAATATCACCACGCTTCTGACCGCTCGTAAATTGCACAATATCTCTCGCACGCCTGCCCACATTCCTCACCGTTTTTACCACCAATAACTCCAAGGAGATAGATGTGGCTGCAAGTGTATTCTATACAGGACGCCCGTAAGTGATGGCTCTGGCCTTGGGTGAGTCTTGGCACCCCTGGTGCCTATAGCTCTTCCTCGCACCTTGGCCCGGAACATAACTATGACCGGGTGCAAGTGGTGTTCTACTCCTGCAGCCCGACCTAAAGCCAGACTTCCTAATTATGTATAATTCTATAGTGCTAAATGAAAGCAAAATTTTAATTTCTTAATTTCTACAACTGAAGAAAAAATAGTTTAACATTGGTAAGAGTCCGTGTGTTGCAGAGGTCATGTGAAGAAAAAAGTAAATTAAAAATAAAAACAGATAAATGGACTGAGGTAATAGCAACCGCAACCAGATCAGCGAACCGGCAACAGCGAACCACTCAAGAACTTCGCAGAGATCAAGGAGGCTGCTCGAGTAAGAGAGTGAGGAATGGCCAATACATGTTTTGGCTTAATACCTGAGACCATGCCCTCTTTTTATGCCCTGCTGACTAAAGAGGCAGTGTTGCGGCAGGAGACGAGACAGGTCTCCTGGCTGTGTGAGAAACAGAGATGAAACCAATGAAATAGTGAAAGACAGCAGTGAAGTGAGCTTAAAAGTGACTTGGTTGACCAGACAAATACCAAACGAGCCTGGCTTATGGTCGGGCTCTAGAAGTTGAAAAACTCTCGGAACTCATCAAAGAAATATCAAAGGTAAAGAACAGGGAGTGGTGTAATTTCAGAAGACGGTCAATTTTATATATTGTTATTCATCCAGCGATAAAGTCCTTCCTTCCCCCCCCCAAAAAAAAAAATCATGAATGTAATTTTTCTGTAAGATTATATTGTTCTCTTAACTAAATAATGCGAGTTTGCAACATTACATATTATATATGTTATATAAAGAGACATTCCTCACAAGAGGCGGAGTGCAGGTCTACCTGCCTGGAGGCTATTCCGGGGGTCAAAGCCCCCCGTGGGCCAGGCCTCGACCTGGGCAGGTATCTTCACCAGGTTCCAGATCAACCAGGTTGTGATGGATATGTGGGGCAACAGGCCTCCAGCAGCAACAGCCTGGTAGCCCAAGCAAGCACCAGACGAGCCTGGCCCATGGCCGGGCTCCGGGAGTAGCTCAACTCTCGAAACTCTTCAAAAGAATATCAAAAGTATATCAAAGGCCTCCCTGTGCATCAGGAACTAATCAATCAGGCTGTTACTGCTGACTGGTGTCCTCAGACTCATTCTGCATATAGCAAAGTACATCTTAAAGAAGAAGGTAGCACGGATAACTACTGCCCTAGTACACAACGCACCAGCTGAGAATTAAAAATCCTGTGCATTTTATGATTTGTATTTTTTTTCGACGACGCCAGCATAAATATTTGAAATTACTATAATAGTGAGGAAGTATCAAGATGGGAAACAATAACAAGGTAGTTAGTGGAGTCCCGGAATGATCAGGATCATTAACAGGAAAATTTAAAGACTGACCACCTCAAATGCTTTTTTTTCCAATGTTGATGGACTGATTGCATCACCTTCAGTTCATTACTATACCTCCTGCCTCTGTATTTGACTGAAGAAGCCTGCTGTGTAGGCGAAACGTTTCAACTCTAAAGATACCCAACTGTTGCATATGCGTCTTAATCATGATGTTACGCAGAATAAGCTGGATAAGGAAGTGAGGGTAATTAAACTCCAAACAGCTTCAGCTGTAAAAGTGGACAGCAGGAGCCGAGATTCAACCCCAGTAAACACAGCAAAGCAAGCACAACTGTGTGTGTACACTCCCAGGCTCATCTGCTTTACCCTCAGCAAATAACAACAATACCTACTGCATGACCAACACCGTCCACCAGCCCGTCCAAACACACCCTCATCCACCAATCCTCTCCCCCCCCACCCATCTGTCAGTGTGTGTCTGGTGCTGGGGCCACCACAAGATTAACTGTAGTCTCTGGGGCCTTCAAACTCTGACACGTTTCTTTTTGGCTTACTTCTTGCCTGTCCTGCTGCTCTCATGCATAGCAAGTGCACAGGGGTGCACGCGCGCTTGTGCAGTGCACCCTGTGCATGCAGGAGACAGTTGCGATCCACGCGTCTAGTACATACACCCGAATGTGCTCTCACATACAGATGCGGATTGATAGGCGGGTGCATGAGTGGATGAAAGAATGTGTGTACTCTCCTTGTGGTGTTTGCAGGGTTCGATTCACAACTCCTGGCCCACCTCTTAACTCTTATTGACTGGCGCCTAGAGCCTGTCATATCTACTCTTGTAGCTGTATATAGTGTTTACTTCCACCACCTCTTAATATACTTCTTTCCATCTTACTACCCTAAGACTTAAAAAATACACAAATAACCAGTACATGGAAGAAAGAAGCTTATGACGACGTTTCGGTCCGACTTGGACCATTTACACTAACGTCCACATGGCTCTTCATCTTTAGCTGCCATATCTGTTCCCAGACTCCATTTCCTCGCATCTCAGTCTTTCCATATCCACTCTATGCTCCGAGCATTTTGTATATCATGATCCTGTCACCTCTGGTCCTCCTCTCCTATAATGATGCTTAGACTGAGTTCCATAAGTTTTTTCTAGTAATTTATATCCGTCACGAATTCTCGTTGCAAAGCACTGAATCTTTTCTAGTTTCTATATATGATTAAGTGCCGGTCCCATGCCAGCTCCGTCAGTTCCATGTTAAAATTTGTCACTAGAATCCACTAAATTTAATAAATCGTACAAGCTGCCATTTATGTAGCATATACAGTTTCTGAACACGCATTGTTTTGTGTTAGTTACATTAAAGAGTTCTGAGGAGTGTGTTAGCTGACCTCACAAGAGCAGTCATTGGGCTTCCACACAACACCTCATCGTTTTCAGTCTATTTACCTGTTTAAAACACAGTAAAGGATTAGAATTTATAAATAATGTACAAATTATCATTGCTATATATTTTAGCATTTTTTTCGTAATTTCATTGATATTTTGAACCGATGTGAAAGTTTTGTTATTCGTGTTCCTATTAGCGTAGACAGCAGCCTGAGTGTATAGTGTGCCCCTTGTCGGGAGGGCATCGACCCGTTTCACAGGCTGACAGCGATAACAACGGCACAGCTTCAGTTAGAAGAGACAGACTGGGATTGAGGGATTTTTTTTCTTTATTCTTCACTGATAGCTCACACATAAAAAAGCGTTTCATAAATGAAGTAATGAAATCTTCAGTCTAGCCTGAGAAACCAAAGTTCATTCCTGCAGAGTTGGAGTTACTGGGGAATCGATTACATGAAATAGTAACTCCAGTTCTGCTGGAACAAAAACTTTTGAAATTATGAAACTGAGCGGAGGGGTCTACCTACCAATAATGCAGGCAACAATGCAGTCTTTAATGCACCAGTCATGTACGGAACGCGCTGCTGAACACTGGTTCAGTAATTTATCTTTTGAAACGTTGCAACCACCGGAACTCCTCACCACTGCGACCTTGGCTGACAGACATAACTCCTCTGAAATTCCGGAGCTGATTTGACCACTAGGAGGCATAGTCCAAGATCGAGTCGTTAGGGTGATGGTTCCCAGAACCACCAATAAGGAGGTTGCACTGATTTCAGAGAACCACGAGCCAATGAAGCCTCTTCAATTTGATATTTATACTTCAAAGCCTAATACATAAGGACGACCCTGATTAACCCTCGAGACACTATAACGCAGTGTAGCTGTATATTTTACATATGCCACATCACAACAAATGAAGCCAGAAGTGAGGTGCAGTAGTATCGAGAGTTCTTCTACTCCTGGAGTCCGACCTTTGGCCAGGTTCGTCTAGTGTTATGTCAATATTTATATAATACTATTTATAATAATGTTTCTTATTCGTACGTTCAAAAATACAATATATTAATTCTTGTAAGTTCCATTAATAGCCGACTGAACACAAACTTATCTCAAAGTCTATTGAAACTCTTCGATTTATGCTAGTGCATCGAGCATACTTAAAGCGATATCACGGCTGTTTGTCAAACCTATGACTGGTTTCGAGGGTTCTACCATCGTGGCCAATCCAGAAACCTGGTTTCTCTGTTGACTACTTAATCAACCAGGCTGTTGACGGCGGTCCGCCAGATAAAATCTCCCAGGAAGATAGCATCAAGTGTAGAAACTTTTAGCCTTTATAGGGAATTTTAAATATTCCTTCTCTCTTCAATGAATTTTCTTTCACTGCAGATGGTGGTATGTATGAAGATTCTTAACCTGGTTCTTTTTCTCTACTTTGATTCCCAAAACCTCTCCCAAATGAACAGATACTTTAATAGTTTTGTGCAATTCAATCCCATATTTTTGTGATCCTGATATCACTATTCAAGACATCGTCTTTGTTACAGACCTTTATTTATAAAAATTATTAATTTGTTTTTGCAAGCCCACTTATGAACGGAAACCTATGTTCAGTATTGTGCTGGGGCAATTATTAGAGTTACTCTTGTTCACATCATTACCGTAAATTGGCTTACTGTTGATGGATGTTACAGATTTAACTCTTCGTGGGCATCTGGCTCATGAATATAATGTCCAGGGGAATGGTGCATACTCAAAGTCTGCTAATGAAAAACTTAC